AGTGGCACGCTCATGGCCACCACTGGGCTCAGTCTTGCTCAGTTTCGATCAACTGGGCTCAGGCAATCCTTCTGCCTTGGCCTTCCAAGCAGCTGAAACCACAGGCATGTGCTAATAGTTTGATTTATTGTAGAGACGAGGTCTTGCCAAGTTGTCTAGGCTGGTCTGAAACCACTGGACTCAGGCAGTCCTCTCACCTCTGCTTCCCAAAGGATTACAGGTGTGAGCCACCATGCACGGTTCCCTTTGCTGTTTACTCAGTTGATTCCAAGGGTATTCCAAGGTAAGGGGCTACTGCTAAGGACCTAGGAGAGGAGAGACCTCCTTTACCACCATGGCATCTGGCAAGAGACTGAGGACAGGGAAGGCCACCTGTTCTTAAAGGTGGAATAACCCAGAGAATCCAGATTTGGCTACATCCTGTATCAAGGCTTTAATGGTCATGCTGAGCTTACGGGGTGTTGCTTTCATGACCCAGGGAATAATGGGTAACTTGGTGCAGAGTGTCACAAGTTCAAGACTCAGGAGAGCTACTGTTTCCAAGAAGGCCTGGTATGCAGTCAGCAGTTGTTGCTCTAATTGTATGTTACATGGGGTCAAAATAGGCAGCAGGCAGCTCTTCTGTACCAGAAGCCCATGGGCAACTTATGGCCATCTTTGGTCCAGAGACTTTAAGCATAGGGAATAGTCACCAGAGCTTCCAAGATGAAGGATTCTCTAGGAGGTACTGAAGGAAGTGCCTCCTGTATGGCCATCTGAACTGACTCCAGGGCATTCTGTTGCAAAGGACCCCCCAAAATGGGCTGATCTGTGGGTGAGTGCGTAAATAGTCCTTAGTAGTATTTGTACATGGAGACTATGTTGCCACCAGAAGCTAAAGAGACCCAATAAGTATTTGGCCTGCTGGGGACTGGTTGAGGTTGAAAAAATTAGTTGTCTTTTTTAACTGCATCAGAAATGAAGTGATCCTAGGCATACCAGATGATGCCTAAGAATTTCACTGAGGTTAAACTGACCTTGAGCCTTATGTGAGGAAATGACCCATCTGCTCTTTAAATGCAACTAAGTGTGTATGCCCTGTTGAGTGTCTAGTAAATCTCATTAGAAGAAGTAATCAGCGCAGTAATATACCTCAGTCCCTAGGGATGATGGGTTCTAATTTGGATACTGCTAGTAGGGATTATGTGTGAGGGCTGAACCATTTAGGCATTCCATGAGCAACTGAGTAAAGATGTCCCTTCAAAGGTATTGGGATAGGCACTGAATAGAACATATGTGATATCAAAGCATCAGTCAGTAGAATACTGGTCTCTTTAATTTCCATTATGTGAGGTATAGGAGCCTTAATGGGTGAGACCAAAGTAGCAGTAATCTACTATGAAGTGCCACTTGATTACATTGTTATTTATTTTGCATACTAGGACTTTAAAAAAATGTTCCTTTAGTTGTTTTTTTTTTTTTTTGAGTTGGAGTCTCACTCTGCCGCCCAGACTGGAGTGCAGTGGCACACTCCTGGACTCCGGTGATCCTTCTGCCTCAGCCTTCCAAGTAGCCGGAACTACAGGCACACGCTACCACACCCAGCTAATTTTTGATTTATTGTAGAGACGAGGTCTCACCAAGTTGGCCAGGCGGGTCTCAAACAATCCATTCTCAGGCAATTCATTCGCCTCGGCCTCCCAAAGTGCTGGGATTACAGGCTGAGTCACTGAGCCTGGCCTAGTTAACTAATATTTAAATTTACTAATGTGTTTGTTGAAATACATATGAAGATGAATTTAACATACTTTCTTCCTCACTTGTGTAAGTCTGGAAGTAAACACTTATTTATGATCAGTTAAAAACACATGGTAGCATCTTCCCTCACTCTTCCACCTAACTGCCTGGTTATTTGATTCATCCCACAGTGCTCTTTTAGCTTTTGCTAAATGCCTGTGGACAGATGAGTGAACATAGTAAGCTGTGCTCTTCGATATCCAGCCCTGGATCTGCAGAAGGAGGCAACAGGAAGCTATTTTCTTCCTCCAAAAGTTATGGTTATTTGTACTTTCTATTACAGAATGTACCAAATATATAATATGAGTAACTAAAATGTGATTTGAGAGTTCTTTAACAGTCAGTCCTAATGTGTATGCACTAAAAACGTTTGGAAATTAGAGCCTACAAAAATTGCTGTTAAATATGGGTGATAATACTGAGAATGTTTAGAGAAAGTATGTCCAATCATGCCCCGTGGGTTGCATGCAGCCCAGGACAACCAGTAATGTGGCCCCACAAGATGGTTTTTTTTTTTTGAGTTGGAGTCTCTCTGTCACCTAGACTGGTGTGCAATGGCATGCTCAGCATCACCCCAATGTGGTACTAGGCTCCGGTGATCTTCTGCCTTAGACTTCCAAGTAGCCAGAACTACAGGTGCACGCTACCACACCTGGCTAATTTTTGATTTATTGTAGAGATGAAGTCTTGCCAAGTTGCCCAGGCTGGTCTTGAACCTGAGGGCTCGGGCAATCCAATCACCTTGGCCTCCCAAAGTGCTGGGAATACAGGCTGGACCACTGAGCCTGGGGTTCCTCATTTGTTTTCAATGAAATTTTTGGTTTCAGGTAAGTAAGCATGTATCAAAACAGAAAAATACAGATCCAAAATATATAGTTTGTATTGTCAATTATACTTGCATTACACCATTTTAAAAACAAATATTCAAAACTCATCACTCTCTAGTTATTTTTCTATGTTTTATTATCTGTGATCTAGAGGTTATTTGTATTTGTAGCTACTGGATCACTATGATGGAAATAGTATATTTCTGGCAACTTTTCCCAACTCCATATTCAGTGACATTATACTGACAGTTTGAAATTGGCCATGATGACACCAGAGAGATTGGCAAATGACAAACCATGGCTTGATTTACCTTATTACCAAATGTCTAGGCTTTAAAAAAAATGATAGTGAATATGTCAGTAATACAGATTAAACTTAAAAAGTATGTGGTGTATGTGGTCATTACACTGTGCATAGCATGAAATATATTGTGGAATAAAAATGAGTTGTTTATTTGTTAATAAAAAGGGAAACAGATACAATTTCTAATAAATAAAATAGGCAAAAGATAGTAACAGATATATTTTACCAAAGAAGATATATAAGTGGCAAATAAACACATTAAAAAATGTTCAGGCTGGGCTCGGTGGCTCAGCCTATAATCCCAGCACTTTGGGAAGCCGAAGCAAGGCGACTGCCTGAGCCCGCGGGTTCAAGACCAGCCCGGGCAACTTGGTGAGACCTCCTCTCTACAATAAGATAAAAAAAAAACATTAGCTTGGCATGGTAGCACACACCTGTAGTTCTGGCTCCTTGGAAGGCTGAGGTGGAAGAATCACTGGAGTCTAGTAGGTAGCTGGGGTGGCCATGAGTGTGTTACTGCACTCCAGCCTGGGCAACAGAGACTCCAACTCAAAAAAAAAAAAAAAAAGTTCAACATAATGAATCCTTAGGAAAAACTACTGCACACTTTTTTTTTTTTGAGTCAGAGTCTCTCACTCTGTCATCCAGGTTGGAGTGCAGTGGCATGATCACAACTCACTGCAGCCTTGATCTTCTGGGTTCAGGCAATCCTTCTGTCTCAGCCTCTGGAGTAGCTGGAAGTCGAGGCATGCACCACCACACCTGGCTAATGTTTTGATTTTCTGGTACAGACAATGTCTTGCTATGTTTCCCAGGCTGGTCTCAAACTCCTGGGCTCAAGCAATCCTCCTGCCACGCCTCCTAATGTGCTGAGATTATAGGTGTAAGCCACTGCACCTAGTCAAAAGGGTAAGTTCAAATACTGGCAAGATGTGGAAAAGCTGGAATTCTCATATACTCCTTAAATAAGTTATAATCTTTTAAACCAGTTTGGCAGATAAACAAATAGAATATCCATGGAAAATATACCACTCAGTAGTAAGAATAAAAAACTCATATAAGCATCACTGAAGAATATAAAAATAATTATATATTATGAATAAAACTGAAAAAATATTTAAAAAATAAAATCATATAAAAATCTAGAAAACACAAACTAAACTATTAAAAGTGAAGTGAATCAATGGTTGCCACGGGGGCCCAGGGAAGGGAGGGAGATATTAGAAAAGGGCGTAAGGTGAATTAGGGGTGGTCAATCTGTTCACTGTAATATGATTTAATGGGTTTATTATCAGGTTTGGTAACCTTATATTAACTTTATCTCTTTCCTGTAGACCTTGCAAATATTGGTGAGCAATGAAGTTCACCTCCATACAGGATGATGGTAGGTCACAAAGCCATGTCCCTGGGAGAAGGACTTTCCTTTCCATGTTTTCTTTGCCTGTACAGCAATGGCCTTGAGATGAACATCCCAGAAAGGCTCTTTTTTTTTTTTTTGGACAATGACCTCAGCTACAAAAGATATACATACCTGGAGATCCTGAGATCTTCTGTATATACTGACCCTGGACAATCACTAGAATATTTTACAAGGAGCACATTCCACCTAGTTTGCTGCAGTCTCCTCTACTCTCTATTAATCTGTACCAACTATGGTCCCCTCTTATATTTTACAGTGACACAAGCCTACTGAATTATGAATATTGGGGTATTTGGCTCCTTTGTAGAACCTAGGGTAGAGACTGCCCTCAACAGTGCTGGGCACTGTATGATACCCTCTGAAAATAACGACAAAAAACACAATTCATGTTGCACCCAGAAGCAATGGAGGCTATCACAACTTCCCACCTCCTCAGGGTATCCTGTGCACAAATTCAGTGCACAAATTAGGATAAAAAACCCCAGTCTTTCCTAGGAGGCCGTGGGCAACAATTCAAATTAGGCTAAAATTGTAAAGAGAGCTATATTCTTCTATCATACTGTTGTCTCTGAGGCATACAAATAATGTGACACCTCATCAAAGGTAATGCTGGCAGGGCCTAATTCTGTTTTCAAACCACCTCAAACAGTGAATAAAACCCCAGGATTACAGATAGCTTAAATAATAAAGCCTTTATTATTGTAAAAAAGCAATATGAGGCAAGCAATTCCCAGGCTGGTGACTTGGAGGCTGGAAAAAGTCCATGGAAAAGTCACATGAGACCAAGAGGTCCCTGAAAAAGATAGTCCCTTTTTGGCAAGCTACCAAAACTTGTGTTGAGTTCTCTGGTACAAAACTGGGTCAAGTCCATGCCCTAACTTGTCAGAGAGAAGGGGATGAGGACCCCTTAAGGGCTCAGACTATTCACGACATTCTTTAGCAAATGGGCAGAACACAGAGGTCTGCTTCCCAGAGCAGGTTCAGATGGTAAATGATGCCCACTATGTGGACCTCATAGGTGGAGAGGTGATATGACTTTTACCTCAAAAATCACCAGTAACATAAATGGAAAGGGCAACAAGTGTGAAGTTAGAAAGTGTGACATAGCTTCTTAAAGTGTCCACATACCTGGAATTTAAGGGGAATATCCCCATTGTGTATCTTCAGATGTTGGGGCTTCCAATTCACGTAGATAACTCTCTTACAGGTATTCTCCTTTAGTGTAATTACACTAAAAGGAAGCTGCATATTCCCATACTGCTAAGGTTTTTCTCCAGTGTGAACTCTCTGGTGTTGAATAAGGACAGATCTGCTGCTGAAGGATTTCCCACATTCACTGCACTGATAAGGCCTTTTTCCAGTGTGAACTCTCTGGTGTTGAATAAGGCTGGAACTTTGGCTAAAAGATTTCCCACATTCGCTACACTCATAAGGCCTTTCTCCAGTGTGAACTCTCAGGTGTTTGATGAGGTTAGATTTGCAGCTAAATGATTTCCCACATTCATTGCACTCAACAGGCCTTTCTCCAGTGTGAACTCTCTGGTGGTTCTTAAGGTTGGAGCTATGGCTAAAGGATTTCCCACATTCGCCACATACATAAGGCCTTTCCCCTGTATGGACTTTCCGATGTGAACTGAAGCTGGAGCTTTGCTTAAATGATTTTCCACATTTATTGCACTCATATGGTCTCTCTCCAGTGTGAAGTCTCCGGTGGTGAATGAGGCTGGAGCTTCGGCTAAAAGATTTTCCACATTCACTACACTCATGAGGCCTTTCTCCAGTGTGAACTCTCTGGTGGTAAATGAGGCTGAAGTTTTGACTAAAAGATTTCCCACATTCGCTGCATTCATAAGGCCTTTCTCCAGTGTGAACTCTGCGATGCTGAATAAGGTTGGACCTTTGGCTAAAGGATTTCCCACATTCCCCACACTCATAAGGCCTTTCTCCAGTGTGAACTTTTCTATGGCTATTGAGGCTATAGATTTGACTAAAGGATTTCCCACATTCAGGGCACTCATAAGGCCTTTCTCCGGTGTGAACTCTTTGATGTATAATGAAACTGGAGTAGTAAGTAAAAAATTTTCCACATTCACTGCATTCATAAGGCCTTTCTTCACTGTGGACTTTCTGGTGTTGAATGAGGTTACATCTTCGTGTGCAGGCTTTCCCACATTTGCTGCACTCAAAAAGCCCTTCTCTAGTAAGGATTCTCTGGTCCTGCACAAGTGTGTCTGTGTGATTAAAGGCTTTCTTGCATTCTACCCAGCTGTACTGACTTTTTCCATTATGAAAGGCCACGCCAAACTTGTTGTTATTTGGCTTCTCTCTCATGTGAGTGGTCTTTGGATGGAGAAATCCCATGTTGGCCAGGAAGTCCTTCCCAACTTCGCTGCAAGTAAATGGCTTCTCTGACACACGGACTATGCAGCTCTTTGTAAATGAGGCTGTGTCCACATAACTTCTGAAGGGTACCTCTCTAATATGCTGTCTATGGTGGTGTTGAATGTTTGTAGTAGAGTAGAATTTTTTTCCATATGTGTATGGTTTCTGCCCACAGTGTGTTCCCTGGTGCTCAGCCAAGTGCAAAATATCTCTCAAGACCAGGCCACATATTTCACAAGAGTAGGCATTCTGGAAAGATGAACCTTCTTTGAAAGTCCTGACCTGTGACACTCCTTCTGCAGAAATGCTCTGTTCAGCAGGTGCCCCCTCAGGCTCTACTCCATGCCAACAATCTGAAAGCAAATAAGTGATGGTGAAGTACATACCGCCTTTATTAGGAGGGGGCAACACAATCACAAATGTACATCTAACTCAGCAAAGAACCAGTCCATGGTACCATTTCAGGAAAAGGGAGTTGGGATGTTAGGTTGAGGAAGCAGCTATAGTACATCAGTGGGCCCCCAAGATGATGGAATAGGGTAGGCCTTAATAGGCACAGGGCACAAGAATAAGGTGTGGCCCAGGGGTAAAAGGCATGTTCTACAGTTAATTCCTCTGTCAATGGCTTTTAGTAGGATCCTATCTGCTGATGATTTATGATGTTATGAAGTATAGGTCTAGGCCCAAGAAAATCCGACTGGAACAGTAGCTGGTGTTCACAGACTATTAAAGGATATATGCACACTTCAGGATACAACAATATTAGAAGGAAGGTAGACGTGAAATGCCTTTGGCAATGACATTAAAACACAGGTCAAATGGGACAGGTTCCTGGATATCATGCCTTCTTTTAACTGCCATTCACCCGGGACAAGCCCTCTTTGAGCCTATCTTGTTGAATCTAGAGTTATGAACACCCTGTGAAGCAAAGAAAATTCTTTCCCTAACCCCAGTTGAGCTACAACATGGGACAAGGAGGATATAAGTCCTAAGGGAAAGACAGGACATGTGAGCAGCTAACAGTGGTCCAGAACAACTCAGTACACAAAAGAACACAGGAAAGTTAAGGAATTTAAGCTGGTATAAATTCAACTTGAAGTGTTATAACTTTAAGATGTTAAATGTGGGTGGGCATGGTGGCTCATGCCTGAAATCCCAGCACTTTGGAAGACTGAGGTAGGGGAACTGCTCAAGTTCAGGAGTTCAACGCCAGCCTGGGCAATGTACAGCTAATAGGGAGGCTAATGAGGGAGGATCACCTGAGCCCAGGAGTTCAAGACTGCAGTGAGACATGACTGTGCCACTCCACTCTGGGCAACAGAGTGAGACCTTGACTTCCAAGGAAAAAGATTAAATGTAATCCCTATAATGTGTATATATTTTAAAAGAGTTATAGAAAACAAACAAAGGAAATGACAGGAATTTAAAAGTTTCACTACAAATTTTGTTTCAGCTGAACACAAAAAAAGCACTACTGCAGTACATTTGGGACAAAAAGCTAAGAAAACAAATAGCAAAATGACAGAAATCAGTCCTTCCTTATCAGTGATTACCTTAAATGTAAATGGATTAAACTCCCCCTCCCCCCAAAAAAGACAAAGATTGGCAGCATGGGTAAAAACAAACAAACAAACAAACAAAAACAAGAACAAAATATGATCAAACTTTATGCAGTCTATAAGAAATTTACTTTAGATCCAAAGATAGCCTGCAAAAAGCTATTCCAAGCAAATAGCAACCCTAAGAGAGAAGGGATGGCTATACTAATATCAGACAATAGAGACTTTAAATTAAAAAAGGTTAACAGAGACAAAAAAAGAGGACATTATATACTAACAAAAGGTCCAATATAGCAAGGAGATATAATATTTATAAACATTTATGTACCAAATAACAGACCATCAAAACACATAAAGCAGCCGGGCTCGGTGGCTCAGCCTGTAATCCCGTGCCTTGGGAGGCTGAGGTGAGTGTATTGCCTGAACCCGAGGGTTCAAGACCCTCCTGGGTAACTTGGAGAGACCTCATCTCTACAATAAATAAAAAATTAGCTGGGTGTGGTAGCACGCGCCTGTAGTTCCAGCTACTTGGAAGGCTGAGGCGGAAGGATCGCCGGAGCGAAGCAGGCGAGGCTGCGGTGGCCAGGAGCGGCCACTGCACTCCAGTCTGGACGACAGAGTGAGACTCTAACTCAAAATAAACAAACAAACAAACAAAAAACACATAAAGCAAAAGTTGACAGAATTGAAGTAGACAGTTCTATAATAACAGTTGGCATCATCAATATCCTACTCTCAGTAATGAACAGATCAATTAGAGAGAAGTAAGAAAACAGAGAACCTAAAAAACCAACTAGAACTAACAAACATGTAAAGAACATCCCACACAACTAGTGCACCTGGGACATCCTCTAGGATAGACCATAAGTTAAGTGTCATTAGATTTAAAAAGATAGACATCATACAAAGTATCTTCTTTGATCACAATGAGATGATATTGGAAACTTAATAAAAGAAGGAAACTGAAAACTTTACAGATCTGTAGAAATTAAACAATACAATCTTAAAACAACCAATGAAGCCAAGTGAATATTGGAAATTAGAAAATACTTAGAGATGAATGAAAATGAAAACAACCTACCAAAATTTATGGGATGCAGCAAAATCAGTAGTAAGGTGAAAATTTACAACTATAAACACATTAAACAAAAGAAAAATCTCAACAATCTACCTTTGCAACTTAAGGGACTTCAAAAAGAATAACAAACTAAAGCTACAGGTAGCAGAAAACAACAAAATAAGATTAGAGCCAAGAAAAGTAAAACAGAGAAGAGAAAAACAACAGAGAAAATCAATAAAACTGAAAGGTGGTTGTCTGAAAAGATGATCAGAGTTGACAAACCTTTACCTAGACTAAGAAAAAAATAGAAGACTCAAATTACTAAAATAAAAAATGGAAGTGGGGACATTACTATCAATTCTACAGAAATAAAAATAATGGGAAAAACCTGAATAAAGTCGTAACTAGTAAAGAGACCAAATCAGTAATTAAAAAAACTATCAACAAAGAAAAGCCCTGGACCTGATGGCTTCACAGGTGAATTCTACTAGCCATTTAATTAAGAACTAAAAACAATCCTTTTTAAACTCTTCCCCCAAATTGCAGAGTGGACACTTCTAAACTTATTCTATAAGGCCAGCATTATCCTGATTCCAAAACAAGATCAAAGACACTTCAAGAAATGAAAACTTCAGATCAATCCCTTGATGAAGTTTCATACAAAAACATCAACAAAATATTAGTAAGCTGAATTCAGCAGCATATTTAAAGGATTATACATCAAGATTAACTAGATTTGCTGGACATGGTGGCTCATGCCTGTAATCCCAGCACTTTGGGAGGCGGAGGCGAGAGGATTTCTGAGCCCAGGGGAACCTGGCAAGACCTCGTCTCTACAAAAAATCAAAAAAATTAGCTGGGCATGGTGGCACATGCCTGTAGTTCCAGTTATTTGGAAGGCTGAGGCAGAAGGATCACTTGAGCCCAGCAGGTCAAGGCTGCGGTGGTCATAGGATGCCACCGCATTCTAGCCTGGGAAACAAAGTAAGACTCCAACTCAAAACAAACAAACAAACAAAAAGAAAAACAACTAGATTCTATTCCTGGAATGCAAGGATGGCTAAACAAACAATAATCAATCAAAGCAGTAGCTCTTGCCTGAAATCCTAGCTACTTGGGATGCTGAGGCTGGAGAACTACTTAAGGCTAGAAGACAGTTAATATAACAAGACCCTGCCTCTAAAAAGTTTTTAAAAATTTGTCAGGGCCAGGCATGGTGGCTCAGCCTGTAATCCCAGCACTTTGGGAGGCTGAGGCAAGTGGACTGCCTGAGTCCACAGGTTCATGACCCACCTGGGCAACTTGGCGAGACCTCATCTCTACAAAAAAAAAAAAAAAATTGTGAGCCATGGTGGTATGCACCTGTAGCCTCAGATACTTGGGAGGCTGATGTACGAGGCTTGCTTGAGCCCAGGAGTTCAAGGTTGCAGTGAGATATGATCATGCCACTGCACTCCAGCCTGGGCAGCAGAGTGAGACTCTATCTCTTAAAGAGCAAAAAAAAGTACAAGGTTATCTCAACCAATGCACAAAAAACATTAGACAAAATGCAATATTCCTTCATGAGGAATACACTCAGCAAACCAGAAATAAAGGGAAGCTATCTACACATAATAAAAACCATATTAAAAAAATACACAGCTGGCTGGGCATAGTGGTTCAAAGTCGTAATCCTAGCACTTTGGGAGGCTGAGGTGAGAGGACTGCCTATAAGCTCAGGGGTTCGAAACCAGCCCGGGCAACTTGGCGAGACCTTGTCTCTACAACAACAACAACAAAAATAAAATAAACTGGGCATGGTAGCATGCACCTGTAGTTCCAGCTACTTGGAAGGCTGAGGTGGAAGGATCGCCTGAGACCAGCAGGTTGAGGCTGCGGTGGCCGTGAGTGTGTCACTGTACTCCACCCTGGGTGACAGAGTGAGACTCCAACTCAAAAAAAAAAAAAATCCACAGCTAAAATTATACTCAATGGTGAAAGACTGAAAGCTTTTCCTCAAGGATCAGGAACAAGATAGGAATGCCAATTTTCATGACTTTTGTTCAACATGGCAATTAGGCAAGAAAAAGAAATAAAAGGGATCCAAATGGAAAAAGAAAAAGAAATCTCTGTTCACAGATCATATAAGTAGAAAACCCTAAAGAGTCTACCAAAAATATGTTATAACTTATAAACAAATTCAGCAAATAGAAGAATACAAACACAACACCAAAAATCAGATTCATGTCTACATATTAATAGCAAAAAATTTAAAAAGAAAACTAACAAAACAATTCCACTCACAGTTGCATCAAAAAGAATAAAATACTGAAGCTTAACTTAACCAAAGTAGTAAAACACTTGCACACTAAAACATTGCTAAAAGGAATTAAAGAAGACATTAATAAATGAAAAGACACCACATTCCATTCATGGACTGGAGTACTGAATATTGTTAAGATGTCTATACTAGCCTAAGTAAGCTACAGAAAATGCAAAATGTATCAAAATCTCAATGAGATTTTTTTTGCAAAAACAGAAAAATCCTTAAGATTTTGATAAAATTCTTATCAAATATTAAGGGACACCAAAGTGGTAAAATAATCTTGAAGAAGAAGGTGAAAGTTGGAAGACTAACATTTCCTAACTTCATAGCTTACTGCAAAGCTATGGTAATTAAACACTAGGTGTTGCCATAAAGACTGCTATATATATCAATGGTAATAAATAAGCCTATAAAAAAACTCTCGAATATCTGTCCAAGTAATTTTTGACAAGGGGACCAAGACCATTCAATGGGAAAAGGACATATTTTTTGACTTATGATGCTAGGAAAACTGGATATCTATAAGTCAAAGAATGAAACTGGACGCTGATCTGCCATCATATACACAAGTTAACTCAAAATGAATCAAAGGTCTGAATGCAAGAGCTAAAACTATAAAACTTTTATGAGAAAACAAGGGGAAAAGCTTTAGGACACCAAAGACACAGGCAATAAAAAAAAGTCAAAGTGAACTTCAAAACAAGAAACTTGTACATCAAAGGACACCATCAACACATTAAAAAGACAACCCACAGAATGGAAGAAAACATTTACAACTCATATATATATTTTTGAGTCGGAGTCTTACTCTGTTGCCCAGGCTGGAGCGCAGTGGCATGCTCAGGGCCACTGCAGCCTTGACCTGCTGGGCTCAGGAGATCCTACAGCTTCAGCTTTCTAAGTAGCTGGAGTTACACTCACACACCACCACATCCAACTAATTTTTTGGATTGTCTGTGGAGATGAGGTCTCGCCAAGTTGGTCTCAAACCCCTGAGTTCAAGCAATCCTCTTGCCTTTGCCTCCCAAAGTGCTGAGGTTACAGGCATGAGCCACCATGCCTGGTCATATCACATATTTGATAAGGGATTAATAACTAGGACATAAAGAGAACTCTTTAAACTCAACAATTAAAAAATAGGCAAAAGACTTGAATAAGCATTTCTCTGAAGGAGATATACAAATAGCCAATTAGAGATGCTCAATATCACTAATCCTCAAGGAAATGCAAATCACAACCATAATGAGATATCACCTCACATCCATTTAGATGGCTATTATCAAAAACAAAACAAAAAACAGAAAATAACAAGTGATGGTGAGAATGTAAAGGAACTGGAAACTTGTGCACTGCTAGTGGGAATGTCAACGGTGCAGCTGGCATTATATGGTGGTTCCTTAAAAATCAGAAGTATAGCCGGGTGTGGTAGCACGTGCCTGTAGTTCCTGCTACCTGAAGGCTGAGGCAGAAGGATCGCTGGAGCCCAGCAGGTCGAGGCTGAGGAGGCCCGGAGTGTGCCACTGCACTCCAGTCTGGGCGACAGAGTGAGACTCCAACTCAAAAAAAAAATCAAAAGTAGAATTACCATATGATCCAGCAATTCTACTTTTAAGTATATACCCCCCAAAATTGAAGCTCTGACACAAAAAAGATATCTGTACACCCATGTTCGCAGCAGCATTATTCACAAGAGCCAGAAGGTGGAAATGACTCAAGTGTCAACTGATAGATGGATAAACAAAATGTGGTACGTACACACAACAGAATATTATTCAGCCTTAAAAAAGAATGACATTCTGATACATATTACAACATGGATGAATCTTAAAGATATAATAAGTGAAATAAGTCAAACACAAAAGAACAAATACTGCATAATTCCACTCAAATGAGGTATTTAGAGTAGACAAATTCATTGAGATCAAAAGTAGAATGGTGGTTGCCAGGGGATGGGAGAAGTTGTTTAATAGGTAAGAGTTTCAGTTTTGCAAGATAAGAGTTCTACTGCAGGATGTTGGTGATGGTTGCATAACCATGTGAATGCATTAAAAATGATTCAAATGATAAATGTTATGTTATATATACTGTAAAATTTTTAAAAATAGAAGAAAAAAACACCTTGGAGCTTTGGAGAAGGTTCTTTTGAGAACAGTGGCAATGTCAGTAACTATATTTCATGGCATAGTCAAGCATGAATAAATGTCAGGTACAGAAATGGAGGGAAATTTGGGTGCCACAGACTTAGACAGTCATCAGACAGGGAGAAGGCAAGCCAGGTGGGATCCACTAGGCTTACTGTTCCTTACACGTGAGGTTTTTGGGCAGGGGCAATAAGAGGAGGGAAGTAGGCATGTACACAGCCCACAGTATCTAACCAGGGAACTGGGGCATGAAGCAGTACCTGTGGTCCAGATATGAGAAGGACAGAGTTGCACCTGAGGAAAAGGAGAAGGGCAGAGCTTAGCCCGAGTCACAAAGGTGGGTATGAGGGTCTTACCCAGGGAGGATGTAATTGCAAAGTTCTCCAGCATCACATCGAAGTACAGGTGTTTCTGAGCCTCATCAAGGAGATCCCATTCCTCCCAGGAGAAGTACACAGCCACATCTTCAAAGGTCACACTTCCCTGGCACGAAAGAGACTAATGAAACCATGAACAGGATCACTCTGGAAGACCCACAGTTCATGTCCCCACACATCTACCTCCATATTCAACCTTCTCTGAAGTTCCCCAACACAGTAGCACCTGCGCTCTCCTCATGATCCCATTAGTCACTATGTTCAGTTTTCCCACTCTGCAATCAGATGGAATCTGTTAACATTTGGGTAAGATAACCTTTCTCCTCTGATTCCAAACTCCAGCTTCCTCCATAATAGCGGACAAACTTCACTGGCAGTTAGTCCAAGCCTGACTCCTGCCTCCCTATTGCCTGAAGTTTACCACCCGAAAGCAAGGAGACCTGCAGCTCCCTGAACCAGTTCCGCCTCACCTCCAACCGGTTCCACATGCTGGTGGTACCTGTTCCTATCACAAGCTTCCGCACCCCTTTCCCCTGGCCTGGACTCAGGATTCTGAGCCCTGGGATTCTCTAGGGTGCCCACACCAAGGGCTGAGAGAATGGCAGGTGACGAGTCCCACGGCACCACAGAGACAGATGAAATGTGGGTGGGGTTCCGGACCAGCGAAGGGCTGAGTACCCTCCACAGATCAGGGCAAGCCCCAAAAGCACGCCGGCAGTCCTGAGATCCCGTGGACAGAGGCGTGCCCCAGAGACATGCGGCCACGGAGGGGCTCCCAGGACACGGCCGTTCCCTGAGCCCCCGCCCCGGTGCCAGGCAGCGTCGGGCGCCCGTCCAGCCTCAGTGCCTCAGCGCTGCCTCTGGCCAGCTGCGCGGCCTCGGGGTGTGATGCGTCCTCCCCGCCCTCTACAGTCTGCTCGTCAACGACCCTCGGAGGCCCTTTCGGTCCCAACGCAGACGGCGTCTCTCAAGCGCCCCAGACTCTCCAGAGCTCCGAGCTCCTGCCACATCGAACGCCGGCGACAGGGACCCACTCACGGGCGCCTCCGTATCCTCGGCCCCGGGCCCAGGCTGCAGGGACAGGAGCTGGTGCCCCTCCCTCAGGACTTACCGGAGCCGGGTCCCCCGGCCCGGCCGCCGCCATCGGACTCTGCGGGCGAGCGGGGCGTGGACCCGGACGCCGCGACCCCCGACCGGCCTTTCAGGCGGCGGT